ACGAGTTTTCGATCCATGCATTGTTTTTACTAAACATTCCTTTCTTTCTAGTACAAGATGGAGCCTTCTCAACGTAAAAAGTGGTGCCAATGCTTTGCATGAGTTCAGATTGCCTTTCTGAAGCATAAGTGCACCGAGCAGTAGTCTGAATGGACGAAATAGCTCATTACCAAGTGAAAACGCAGAAACAAGTACAGTAGTCGACGGATTGTTCGCTAAAGATATCTTTATTCAAGAACGAAGTTCCGAATCTAGAATCAGAGGCTATTTTTCAAAAGGCGAATAAGACGATCCGGAAGAACGAATTAGTTCGAAGCCTAATAAGAATAAGCATAACAGCAGAATCTTTCGTGGACACGACCGGAAAAAAAACTATGGCAGAACGGAGAGATAACATTGAGTTCTGTATACGATACATACTTTTTTGCCAAGCATGTCCACTAGGAAATCATTAACTGATGTTATCCAGAGCTCAACTAAACACATTGGAAATGGTAAAACTCTTGGGCCCGCCAGTTAACCTATCTTATCACAACGAACTCTCACCAAAACCAATGATGAAATTTCTAATTGATGGAGATCACGCATAATTCATCTAAATAAGACATACAAACTATTTCTAGAGCTCATTTTACAATCCGTCCACAAACGTAATGGTTAGTCACCGTAGATATAGACTAACTAAAAGTGACAAAAATTTTTTGAAGTATTAAGTTTCTCAAATCATATTCTGACCATTTTTTAATATTTATGAGAGCTGCTTAAAGCACCATTAGCTTCGCGTTTTAATCCTTTACACTTATGAAAAAATACTACAACACTGTGCTATGATGATTCGGTACTCTGACGGAGTGAAATATATTAGGATGCAACATATGAAATGTCCGATATCTTTAAATAACCATAACTTTTTCTGTGATAAACCTTAATAAGCGAAACAAAAAACGTTAGAATCAAAACATTTTTGTTACAAATTTATAATTTTACACAATTTGTCGGTTTTAGTGCCGATGAATTTTTTAAAGGCGTTTTCAACTTTCACTTTCAAAGGCAATTTTTCCGTCAGAAAGTGGTCCAGAGGCTTAAAAAAACGAAAATGCCAAATTTGGCTAGCAAGGCGGATATGGTGAGTAGTGCATTTCATTCAGCTTTCTTCACTTCATTTGAGAAACGTGCAGTCTTGCGTTGTCATTAAGCAACATTGGACACAACACATGAACAACTATTGACCAGTGCCGGCTGTTTGACGAGTAGTTCTTGACGCATTTCTTCGATTTCAGCGCAATATTTTTCTGACGTAATCGTTTCGCCAGATCGTAAGAATTTGTAAAGAATTATACAGGGAACCGACCATCAAACGAAACCATTGTCTTCTTTTGATGCAGACTCGGTTTAGGTATGTGTCGTGGGTTACTACAGTGGCCACTTTTCATCGCGAGTTATAATGCAATTCAAAAACGGATCTCCATCGCTGCGAATCAGTAGCGAATTGCAAATTTCCAGACGTTGGGGTTTTTGTTTTTCATTGAGTTCGTGTGGAATACCCATTTTTGTAACCTCACCAAACAACTGTGAGTGACGTGAAATGGTCATAGCACCAAACACTGTCGCATGTTCTCGGACCGTTTGACGTGGATTGTGTTCGACTAGAATATGAAGTACCTCAGCGTTATCCTTAACTTTTGGTCTACTACGCTCGTCGTTTACGAGGGACTCATATTCGGATTCAAACTATGTGTAACAACGACGAATGGTGCGCTTGTTAACAAAACCGTCTCCAAACGCCAGATATTCCGAGCTCCTGCCGGTGGCACTGTGTCCACTCTTCCACTTGTACAAATAAAGGACGTGAATATCACGCTGATTCATACTAAAGTTAAAGCTTATAAAAATGTTAAAATAATAAGTCTCAAAAAACCAATACTAGATGTAGAAAAAGCAGACTATGTGCTCTAAAAATATATATTGGACATACATAAAAACCAAAACTTTTGTAGAAATAGATAAAGATCGATAGAAATAGCTGAGAGACAGGCGAAACGAAGGACCCGCATGGTGTGGTAGTGAACGCGTTACTCCCCGGAAAGGACAATAGCGCATTCGTTCTCCACCATAGGCACCTGCGGTCCAGAGCTTTGCAAATATCTCGGCAACGTTGTGCTTGTATTTCGCTTAGTAACCTGCCATGAAAATTATAGAAGGCAGAAAACAAAACGTTAAACAAAATTTTTATTTAAAAAATTACAAGAAAAATTTAAAAAATGAACTCCCACGACCGACTTTCTATTAACCTCGGCATTGATCAAGTAATTCTTCGTATTTTTGTTGAGCAAACGCAAGGTGTTATTATTCTTTATTCACGAATAAGCTGACGTTTCGGCGGATTTCGCCTTCCTCAGAGCCGCTTTCTATGAGGTTTCCACTAACTGATGTGTAAGGGGCACATTATGCTTCCATGTGATTCCTATGCGGTTGGTCTCTACGTGACATACTTAGTGGAAACCTCATAGAAAGCGGCTCTGAGAAAGGCGAAATCCTCCGAAATGTCAGCTCATTCATGAATAAAGAATAATAACACCTCGCGTTTGCTCAACAAAAATACGGAGAATTAAAAAATGAAGTCAGACAGTTCATATGCTACAACCTAATAGTTCCAATATTAGAGCATATTTGCACTGCCATCATCTGCGCTCTAAGAGGATTTTGCTCTAAATTACCAGTTAAGAATCTAATCAGAAAGGATTTCCACTCTAGATCACAGCCACGAAGGTTGTTTACTGAAGCACCGCAATGTTAATCTTTACGACTGCTCGTATCCGGAGAAAAGAACAGAGATATAAAACTTTTTTCAGATTTCCTTAGTTGATGTAGCGATAAATATTATGTTCTTCCAAGAGTCAACTTTCTAATAACCTCGGCACTGCTCAATAAGCTGGGTTGTTGGTGACAATATTTATTCAAAACTAGGCGATGTTTCGACGGCTTCATCTTTTTCAGAGCCTCGGAATGTCACATTGTCATGCAATCCACTCAGTCACAAATCATAGTAAGTCCAGCAAAAAAACTCAACACAAAATTTCATTCGCGTTTCCAAAAGCTTCTTTCAAGCACCCACCGTTTTGTTCGTTGTGAGTCTTTTAATTATTTGGTGGAGACCAGCCACACAGAGCCCTACATGGATGAAGAGTATGCCTTGCTCAGGTCAATCAGAATGATATATGGTGCTAGGTCACGCGTGATCACAGGGCACTCCTTCTTACGCTTCACTTGTGGATTCTTGGAATTTAGGAATATTCAAAACGCCTCAAGAGTTTTATGCGCTGATGTTTCTGATTCTTTTGCGAGGAAAGTGAGTTTTACTTTAAAATTTTCTCCGTGCCTTTGTGATCTGTGTGTGCCTAGTGGGCTGTTTAGTTTCAATTTAAGAATCAGGTTCAGAATTTTTTTTGCGTTGGTTCGATTGGTTCTTGATGAGTTGCTCTACTTTATGTATGGTCTTGAATGCAAATCGAGAAGGTCTTCTTAGGAGTCCAAAGAAGGCTATGTCGACGCATTTAAATAGGGTTTTTCACATCGTTAAAAGCAGCTAACAACCAATTGAGATTGCTAAAAATTTGCTTACTTACTTGGGTATTTAAATGACCAGTCCTCACTTGTTGTGCGAGGCCTAGATAATCCCCACTTTTTCGGAGTTTTGCTGGATTAGTTACTGGAGCCCCGAGGTCAGCTTGGCCAAAGTCTGCTCCAAGTCGTCACCACCATAGACAGTCGCCGTAGTTGTGGAACAGAGAGAAATTTGCCACCATGCGACTAGTTTAATACAAGGACTGTGGCAGATCCTGGTATTGGTTTACTCTTAGCTGGGCTTCCTTAAGGAAACGCAAAACTCCTTAGCTTGAAAGACCCTATTGGGAGGATGAAACCCCGCTGTAGATTGCAGCTAGACAACCAGTAACACCTCCTAGCCACAATGAGGGGGTAAACCGTTGGGAGGCTAACAACTTACGCAATACAAAGAAAACATCTCGGAACTTTGAGCCTTATAAACAACATTATATTGAATTCTTGCAGACTTTTTTATTCATGACCCAGCAAAAAAATACCTTCATGGCAAAGCTTTTAACTCGACTGGATAGTTTCATTAATGGAAAGAATAACAAGAATATCGGATCCACATTGGCTCCAAAATGATTTCTTACCAAGACGAAAAAGCATTTAAATTCTGCAAAGTATGCCAATAAACTCTTCAGTGGCCTTAAGATACGAAACACTACAGCCATTACTTTCAAAAAATGTCCATATTTCGGCTTTATTTTAAGAATGAACGACTAGATTGTGCGGGAATCAATGGTTGATTTAAATGCGCACTTTTCTAAAAATAAAGTATCTCAGTTCAAAAAAATAGTTACTGGGCGGAATCAATAACGTTATAATCTGGACATTTTCATAGCAAGAGACAAACTTACTTGTACCGGTTGCATAAAATTCTGTACTTTCAGAGGCGACGAACTAGCAGGCTGTTTTGGCCTCGCCTAGGTTTCTGTAGCATTTCTCGTACGTACAAAAAATTGTCGAGATGCTTAACCAAGTGGTAGGTGCTTGGTGAGAAGTTTGGGGACTATGCTGGATGAGGCAAAGCATCGTAATCTAGCTCGTTCAACCTTTGCAGGGTCGGTAATGCGACGTATCGCCAATTCGTACAACATCCAATTGTCGAGCTTCTTCAACATCCAGATCTTTATCAGGTGCCACGAAACAGTTAACGTGCCTACAATTTGCTGTTCATCTGCAACTGTAGAGCAATTATGCTTTTATTTACTTCCATCGATGTCTTTAATGCATCGGCGTCATCATTCGTGTCCTACTTCACCATCTGCATCGAATTCACTAAGAAAATATCCTCGAAACCAACACCGAACTGCGCATTCGTTAATACTTCCTTGGCTCTATGACTCTTTAACATTTCGAATCCTTTGTGTTCTAGACGACCAAATATGAATTTATAAGAGTGATTCTGTTGAATTTACTCCTCCTATATCACAGTTTTTTAGGAGGAAATTTATTCGTCATATGGAACAATGGAATTCACTGCCAATTCAACAAACACCTAGGACACTCTTCATATCGAGGAAGAGGTAATTAAACACTATAGATCTACAAAACTAATATTTGGAACGCGACTTCATGATAGAGAGAGAGAGAGCAAATTACGCACATTCTAATCACGACAGTTCCCACATAGTTTAGCACCATTGTGGGCGATTTGCACCGTCATCTTCCGATTAAATTCCAATCCATGTAACAAATTCGCAGTGAGCAAAAAGTATTGGGTCTTAGCCAGATTCTCCTCGCAACTAAGCGTTTCCACAATGATATTAAACACCTTCGTCCGTTCACCGGAATCATATCTTTATTTATTTCGTACACACATCGGAAAGGAACAGGACATAGTCCGTGTAGCGCCAACAAATACAACATAGTGGAAACACTACGTTTACCTCCAGATTGGACCTGATGAATCAGACGCTTCAGACGTTCACCAAGGTGAAAACTATCCATTATCGTAAAACCACATTCGGTTAAACTGAGCGGATCTTCTGGTTCATCGAGATATACTTCTCCAGCGCATCCGATTTGAGCAAAAAATTTTAAGTAATTGACAGTGATGTTTTGAATTAGTTCCTCAATAGGCTTCCACCATTCTGTGGTCTCTTTCATTAGACTGGTCATCAGTTCTTCTTTCGTAGCTTTCTGTTGCTCTCTACGACCTACTAAACTGATCTTTCCTCGTTTCCAGAATTCATTACCGTCAAAATCTCCTTGCTTCCATCTACAGTTGCTATGCTGTTTTATTTTTTCGTCTTCAAGAAGTTGAAGAACCATTGGCATATCTTTTGGTATACTTTCATCTGTGCACAACTTTTTAAGACACCCCAGAATTTCCTTTCCTTCTGGAATCATTTGTTCCGGATTCAAAATCTTCAAGCCACATTCGTTGTCAAGACACTCGAATAAGGTAATCTTTGCACTAAGGAACGATGCAACATGGCTTTGCAAGGATGACACCTTATCGTGAAGTTTCAAGACTTTGCAAATTCTTCTCAACTTTTATGCTTTCATCTCGTAATTTTTTCAGTGCCACTCTCAGAAAACATCCTTTTATGGACGCCATGCGTAGTTTTTCCAGCTTGCCTAATATCTTTGGCGTAACCTTGTATACTTCTCTAACAGCAGTTATTCTGGTTTCACCAAAATAAGCGGTAGCTTGATCGACGTCTGGCCGGCTAGCCATCTGGTCGTAAATTTTTCTTTCTCGAGTACTTAGAGAGCGTTTCAAAATCCCATAATGAATTGCGACGACTCCTCCACTCAGTTTGTTGTGCTTTTAACTCCTTTTTCACCTGAGTTTTACTTCTAGACTAATTTACTTGCAGTCGACTATTGCACAAATCAGTTTCTCAATCACGAATACGTTGTGCTTCAGCATGAAATCTACTCCTAACATCAAATGACTTGAAATGACTAATGAAGTTCGAGCAGGTGCTTTCAATTCGCTTTGCTGCCCAAGGATCTCATGAGAGTCATATTTAGAAACTGTAAGATGCATCCCATACTTATCCATGGGGAACAACCGATACGTAAAAAGTCGTTCTTATTGTGCCATATAAATCGTTTATCTTTGATGCTCCATTGGTAACCAGATCCAGCATTGCTGCATTACACAAATATTGCTTAACATCATCAACCGATCGAACAAGTCTGCAGCAAAGTGAGTCAATCCTGATTCTTACATTTCCAGGGGCAACTTTGCGTTCAGAGAAGACAAATCAACCTGTGATGGAGAAATAACAGTAGAGTTGAGTTTCCAACTGTGTCTTCTATTAGTCAAAAGCGCCTCGTCTTCCTTGCAATCAAGGTTGAACATTGGCAGATCTCGAAAAGCTATCAGGTTTTCTAGAAACAGCGCACAACGACCATTAGGAACAGCCACATGTAGAACAGGCACGAATACTGGATAGCGAAACTTTTCACAATTCCCTTCATGCCACCTCCAAGCTTCATCAGCGACATTTATGCGGCAATTCCTAAAAGCACGAAGACGACCTTCCATAACTTCACTAAGATTCATATCTTCACCACGTAAACTGCTTTTTTTTCATGGATAAGTTTATTTCCTCAGCAGAAAAATCATTTTTCATACGACAAAAGCTGTCGTCACCTTCAACACATTTGCGAGCTCTCCGCGAAGCGTCCTTCTTGAACTCCTCACAATAGCACTCGCAAAGCCCAAAGAAGCCTCGCCAATTGCAAAACAGAGTTGGCTGCACTCCAACTTCCTGACGAACAGTTACAGCGCCCAGAAACGTAGTGGAGAAACTTACACTCGACAATCTTAACCGTTTTACATACTGCCTACTCTTTTTAATTGCAGGGTATGTTGCGAAATATAACTTCAATGATGCTAAGCTATTTGCAAAACTCGGACCGCAGGTGTCTGCGGTGGGGAACGAACGCGCTATTGTCCTTTCCGGGGAGTAACGCATTAACCATCACACCATGCAGGTCCTCCATTTCGTCTGTCTCTCAGCTAGCTCTATCGATCTCTGCCATCAGCAATCACCCCATCAATCAATCTCGCTGACGGGTTATTGTTGATGGCAGGGATCGATAGAACTAGCTGAGAGACAGGCGAAACGAAGGATCCGCATGGTGTGGTAGTGAACACGTTAGTCCATGGAAAGTACAATAGCGCGTTCGTTCCTCCAGCAGACAACTGCGGTCCGAGTTTTGCAAATATCTCAGCATCATTGAATTTAATCACCACAGTTACTCAGATCTCTTCAATAGCTACGTCCCTCTGTCCTTTAATGAAATAAAGGAGGATGGATATGTCGTACCTCCAGTTCTCCCTACCAAAATCCAACATGCTATTTCGTCGGCGAAAACTCGAACAGCACCAGGTTCGGACAGGATAAAAAATGAGCACCTGAAGAGCCTTTCGCCACTTTTTGTGAACACACTGGCTAGGCTATTCGCACGTTAGCTGTCTGAATGCAACGTCCCTACTCAATGAAAACTCAACCACCAAGATTTTACATTTGCTCAAGAAGGGTGACCTCCACGATTTCGCCAACTATCGCCCAATCTACTTGCTATCTGTCGTCTATAAACTTTTCGCTCGAGTCATCCTAAACAGGATTGACGGAACTTGGACGAATGACAGCAGTGTGAGCAAGTAGAGTTTCGAAAAGGACTCAGTACGATAAGGATATGGAGTATGGACCACATCCACACGATAGCAAGACTCATTGAAGTGTCGCGAGAGTGCAAAAGATCGCTCTGTCTCACTTTCAACGATTTAAAGAAGGCCTTTAACTCAATTGAGATAGAAGCATTTATGGAAGCTCATGATAGTCAGGTAGTCCCTATTCAGTGCATAAAGACTCTTTGTGAGCTGCACAACAATTTCACAACCAAGATATCATCATTCTCCAACGATATTATCATTGATGTCAAGATGGGTTACGCAGGGCGACACCATCTTGTCAAAATTGTTTACCGCTACCCTCCAGAACGTCATGCGATCATTGGAATGAAATAATATTACCTGTATCACCTGCAGTCCCGTTGATCGTCGAGTGACTCGAGCGGGCGCCAGTAAATCTTCCATTTTTCCCTGTCGCGTGCAAGAGCAGCCCAGTGGGTTCTGCTCTCTCTAGGGATTCTTCGAGCATCATATCTTTCCTCTAGGTTCTTCGTGATGAACTCTGACCATCTAGTCGGTGGTCTTGCTGCAGTACGTTTGACATCTCGAGAAATCCAGTTGCTAATGGCTCTTTTCTATCGGATGTCATTCATACGCATTACGTGTCTGGCATACCTTACCTTCGACTGTTTAGCGTACAAAACGGCATCTTTGAATGTTGATTGTTGACGCAGGTCGAAGCTTCAGATCCCATCGCTTAGTTGTGTGAAACGGAATACTCCTAGCATCGTCCTTTCCACTGTGTGTTCGATAACGCTGAGTGATCTTTCATCCTATCCACGCAGCGACCAATTTTTTGACGCATTCGTTAGGACAGCAAGTGCCGTCGAGTCGAAAAGGTGGATACGGGGTCTGGTGCTTTTTGTCTTTTTCGCTGAATCCTTGATGCTCTCGAAAGCTTTCGAAGACACTCGTTTCCACCTGCTGAACTCTGGAGCTAAGTCGTTCATCATGTTGATTCCTGATAACTAGACGTAACTGGAGTATTCGGAGATATTCGTTACATTGAGCGCGAATGGGGCATACGAAACCGATCCGTTCCCCATGAACATCGTTTTTCTGAGATTTAGTCGAAGACCAATCTTTCCACAGGCTTTATCAAAGTCAGCAAGCATACGTTTCGCTTGGCTAAACTTTGGTGTTAAAAGGATAATGTCATTAATTCGAAAATGATGTAACTGGCGGCCATCGATCTTCACTCCCATATTATCCCATTTCAATATCCCCATCATGTTCTGGAGGGCAGCGGATCTCAATTGAGCCAAAGGCGTTCTTTAAATCGATGAAAGTAAGGCAGAGCGGTCTTTTGTACTTTCACGATACTTCAGTGAGTTTTGTTATTGTGTGTACATGGTCCATACTCCATATACATACCGTACTAAATCCTTTTCGAAACCCTGCTTGCTCACATGGCTGTCCTTCTTCTAGTGTTCTGTCAATCCTGTTTAGGATGACTCCAGTGAAAAGTTTGTAGACGACAAACAGCAAGCAGATTAGGCGATAGTTGGCGAAATCCTGTAGGCCACCCTTCTTGAACAATAACACGGTCCTGCTGGTCTTTCACTGAGCAGGGACCTTGCATTCAAACAGACAACGTGTGAGGAACCGAGACAGTGTGCTTGCGAGGACTGACGGAAAGTTCTTCAGGTGCTCTGACCTTATCCTATCCGGGCCTGGTGCTGTTCGATTTTTCGCCGATCGGATTTCGGAAGGGAGAACCGGTGATACAACATACCAATCCTCCTTTATCTCATATGACGGTAGGTGGGCGTGGCTATCGAGGAAATCTGAGTAGAATTCGCAAATGATTTTCTCCATTTCCTTTCTGGATGCTGCAACTGTTCGGTCTGGTCGTCGGAATACAATCATTTTCGTCTCCTAATTGGCGAAGCATCATTGGGCATTGCGTATGATTTCTTAGCCTCTGCAGTTTCGACCATTACTGCTGCTCCTCTCACTTTAAGATCTTCGCCTGTCTGTATTGTTTTGCAGGTTCGGACGCTAGTTCACGGTTGCCTGCAGCTTGTGTGATTCCACGCTGGCGTATCAGCTCCAGTGTTTCTGGAGACAGAAGTCTCTTGGTGACTTTTCGAAATGGGATAACATGGGAGTGAAAATCGATAGTCAGCAATTACACCATATTTTGTTGATGATAATGGTCTTATAACGCTAAATATTGGCCAGATTAAACGAATGTTTGCCAACTTTGATAAAGCTTGCGGAAAAATTAGTCTTCAACTAAATCTCGCAAAAACGATGTTCATGAGGAATGGATTGGCTACAAACACCCCTTTCACTCACAACGGAATGAACATCTTTAAATGGTCCACTTAGTCTATCTAGGTCAGGAAATCAGCACGATAAACCACTTAGCTCCAGAGTTCAAGCAGGTGGAAACGAGTGGCTTCGACGGCTTTCAAGAGCATCGAGGATACAGTGAAGAGGACAAAGAACTCCCGACTCCGTGCCCATCTTTTCGACTCTGCGGTACTTCGTGCCCTAACATATGCGTCAGAAACCTGGTCGCTCCGTAAGCAGGATGAGAGGTCACTCAGTGTTATTGAACGCGCAGTCGAAAGGACGATGCTAGGAGTATCCCGTTTCACACAAGTGAGAAAGGGGATCCAAAGCTCCAACATACGTCAACGATCAAAAATCAAAGATGCCGTTCTGCACGGCAAACAGTCGAAGACAAGGTGGGCCAGACACGAAGTGATGATGAACGACAACCGATGGACAACAGCCATTAGTGACTGGATTCTCTGGATTACCAAAAGCACTGCAGGAAGGTAACTGACCAGATCGTAAGAGTTCTTCACGAAAACCCAAAAAGAAGGATATGATGCTCAACAAGGCCCTAGAGCGATCAGAGCACGGGCTACTCTTGCGCACGATAAGAAAAATGGAAGATTTACTGGCGCCCGCTCGTTTCATTTGACGATCAGCAGGACTAGGTGATACGCGTGACATCACATTTTCTAACTTGCAATACGTATGAAAAATACAAATTAGTTAACTCCTACATAACGAAAACACATAAACTAAGCGGTCTACTGATATATAACAGTAGAGCCTTGAAAAATGAATCACTACTTAAACATTTAAGAAACATGATATTACAAGTCCGACATTAGTTTCCAACGAATCTACTACTTCGTTTGCAGAATTTTTGTACTCGACAAAAAACAATTGCAGAAATTTTTAAGTTCAGTTATGACGAAGATATGGATGAATAGTAGTTAGTTTCATTATGAACTATACCAATAAAAGAAAGCGTAAAAAAGAATTCAAACGATTTAGTACGTTTCTATGTTTCTAAGCAACTCTTTCAGCTAAGTGCAAAAAAAATTAGATAATTGCCGTCAGAACTCAGCATCACATTCTTTTATCTAAAGTGTAACTCGATAAGGGCGACGACAGCGGATTTGTTATTAAAATACGCCACACCGTAATAGAGCGCGTGTGGCGCGGTGGTCACAGGTGCTCTTCGACACACACATGGAATCGATCCCTATGCCCATGGCTCACCAAGCCTTCCACCCGCTAGCGTTCAACTCGGCTAATTGGTACCAGACTTCTCTGGGAGGATAACAGCAATGGCTCGATGCATCGATAGGCCGTCGCGAGTCATTGTAAAGGCCAGATATGAATTCAGCCACGTTGAAACGATGCTTAATGATGCCGAATGCAGGGAGCGTCCCTCAGGGATTGATCGATCAACGTCGAGAGCTTTATCCTTTCATCCTTAATACCGTAATACGGCATACGCTTGTTGAGTTGCTTCAGCGTCCACAACTTCAGCTGTTGTGATAGTGCTAATGTCCGCGTTTTGGTCTTCAATGAAGTTCAGTATTTATGTCTGCTATTCTTACTATCCGTAATATTTTTCTAATATTCGTTCAATATTTTTTGCTTAGGAGGAGTTAAATTCAAAACACTCGTAACCATTCTAAACGATTCCGTTGAGAATTTGACGCGAATCATCAACGACGATGATACTGGTCATTGCTTTCCGAAAGATGTGAGGTCTACCTTTTTTTTAAAAGTTTTCATCGAATTCATAAAACCGATTCCTTTGTTTTTCAAAGTGCTGACCGGCTGAAAGTCGGGCATCTCACGAAGATTGCGAGCGATCAGATTGAGACTTCGATCGTTGTAGGCGGCTTGCGAGAATAATCGTAGCTCTCGCCAATCACTTTCGCAAAGAATCTGATTGTCATGAAGTCGAAAGCGTTCGCCAACCACAAAACTGCAATTGAAAAATGTTCAGATCGTAAACTTTTCCAATAAAAAATGTTTTTTCAAACTGTTGTGGTTTTTAATCTTGCTTTAGTTATAATCAGTAGAATTCTGTATAAGATCCGCAAAATAGCTCGTCATTCTTTTCTGCTTCACATTGCAGGCGCCTGTCTTCTACATCCGTTGTGCGGATCCCAGCACTTCTTTGTTCGATTCGTTTTCCTCGAACTCATCATCCACAAAGGACTTCGAACATTTCGCGAGTTATTTCGGCTACTGCTTGAGAATTTCCTCTTACTTATGATTGTCGTAGATAGCCAGACTAAGGCATTCCGGCGTGGATTGGAGCAGACTGTTAGGGCCGGCATCGAACAAGCACCTTGTTTCCCAATGAATTGCATCACTTATCACTACGCTACTCCTTTTCAACTCATCACTAATCGGATATAAGTCGATATGAGATAAGTTTCTCCATCATGATGTTGCTCGACGGAAATGTGAACGAAACTGTTTCGAATGTCATCCACGCATTACCACACCGTCATGCTCCACCCCCTATGTTGCACTCAAGTGCAGTCAGTAGCAGTCACGATTTATCACTAGCTGTCACAATATTCACGGGTGTGAGGGGATATGGCCTTCATAACGTCATCCACAATACTGAGTTCATGACAGAAAAATGCAAACACCAATGTCATCAGACTGAAATCCATCGCTACATCGCTAAACAAGAAAAAGGAGAACATTTCAGAAAAATCGAAGAAAACCAACAGCTCACCTTTCTGAGCAAACACTGCATCGAAAGCATTTCAAATGATAGAGATTATTTCTGAAATTGTTCGAAATAAGGTCTTTCACAATGAACATAGATAATCTTTACAATAGAATATAATACACGATAGTTTTCTTGTTGAGTTTGCCTTTGGTACAAAAATTTCCAAAATCCGTTTCTTAGTTCGTCAAGAATTATTATTCAAACACTTAACACTATCTTCAATCGTAGAGCTTCACTAATCTGTTTGTAGAAAAAATGAGATCATCTTAGAACGGTTCGATGAAACTAGTCGAAACCTCTTTCTGAATTGGCAATTTTAAAGCCTAGTAGTAAATCAAAAAATATTGCAAAAAATGGTAATGCCGATTTAGGGTCTCCAGAACAATCCCGTTGACGGGTGATTGCTGATATCAAAGATCGCTAGGACTAGCTAAAAGACAGGCCGAACGAATGACCCGCATCGTGTGGTGGTGAACGCGTTAGTCCCCGGAAATGGTAATATCGTATTCCTTCACCACCGCAGACACCTACGGTCTGGAGTTCTGCAAATATCACAGCAACGTTATGGTTATATTTCGCATAATACCCTCCCTTAAAAAACTATAGTAGGCAGGAAATAAGAAGCTAGCATTATAATGTTTAACGTTTTTGTTTTCTGCCTTCTATAATTTTCATGGCAGGTAACTAAGCGAAATACAACCACAACGTTGCTGAGATATTTGCAAAACTCTGGACCGCAGGTGTCTATGGTGGGGAACGAACGCGCTATTATCCTTTCCGGGGAGTAACGCGTTCACCACCACACCATGCGGGTCCTTTGTTTCGCACGTCTCTCAGCTATTTCTATCGATCTTTTTGCCACAGCAATCACCCGTCAGCGGGGTTGATCTGGGGAGCGCAAATCGGCATAGAACCCAGTTAAGCTATGGCTATAGTTGAATTCACAATGTTTAACGTTTTTGTTTTCTGCCTTCTATAATTTTCATGGCAGGTTACCAAGCGAAATACAACCACAACGTTGCTGAGATATTTGCAAAACTCTGGACC